ATTTTATATTAACACATTTAAAATGCTGTTATGTTTTATAAAGTACGGTGCTAGCACAAGGTTATCACAGTTAGCTAAAAAGGCATTTAAAAAGGGATTTATTTCCCTCATAAGATGGGGTAGGCTAACTTGTAGATTTAGGTGTTAGCTGACAACTTTAACTTTATAGAATCAAACCAGCATAATGTAATTAACTTCACATGGATTCACAACATATTGACCACATTATTGACAGCCATTGTTTAGAGAGGGTTCTTCTTATGTTTTCCTTTACACAAACAACAGCTTTGTAGAAGCATTCTACCTATAGACATAACACACTCTGGCACCTATTTAGTCTTTGTTCTAAAAAAGTTGTGTAGCTTTCCGAGCGTATGATCATATACACCCTGTTTTTTTGTAAATACAATGCTTGAGGCCCACAGGGATCCTTCAGAAGTGGGAACTGTGGATTTGTTTTGTTTCATGTGCTATACACTCGGTGGTTAAACGTGTAAACAACATGAGTTTATCATGTGCAAGGGCTGGCACTTTTAATCATGTGTGCCTTCCTCTAAAGTCCTGAGAAGTATGTATGTTAAAGTGTTAAAGCTGGTACTCATAATCTCCCAGTGGTTGCTTTCTGTGCATCTTTTCTAAACGTCTGGGTCACTTTGGTTTTGAGGGACGTGCCAAAAAGGCATTACATGATTTGTGAGGGGGAAAAAATGCTGCAGAGGGCTGTTGGGCATGTGTCAGTCTGAATTCATTTGCACTGCGTTTTCACTGTGCAGAAATAAGGAGACAGGCCACATCAACAAATGCAAATCCATTCCTCAGCAAACTAAAAATGCATTTTCTTACAAAATGTTGTTAAGATACATCAGGAAAAAAAGAAAGTTTTCACTTAGGTAAAAAAAAAAAAAAACAATCTGATCCATACAAATGAGTTTTCCCAAAGAATGTCTGAAACCTGATGGCCGTAGACAGATTGATGTAAAGCTCGCTACACATTCTGCCTGTCGTGTGGGACGTGAGTTGGACAGCGCCGCTGCAGACACTGTGAATTGTGGCCTCTTTCCTGACATACCTGTGGCCTGAACCTCCAAACCTTTCCACAGACACACACAAAAGCTAATCTCCCAAGATCAGCACTAAGAGTTTCACTGTCTACACTGTGTGCAGCCATTCCTCCTCTACTTTTTTCCCCCTACTCATACGGTAATTCCAGGATGTGGGATATGCTTAGTTCAGACGGTGTGCGGTCACGTTATCCTCAATCAGTGTGAATTTTGAGATTAGCAACCAGCAAAACAAAGCTTTGAAAACAAAGATTGAGTATGGCTTTGCAAGCCTTGGTTATGATGAACCCTTGCGCTGATTGACCGGCGAGTGATCTTACGACCACACACCCTTACAATATTTTCTTGTTAGAGTGTAACACTGTCAGCAGTGACAGGAATGAACCCAGTTGAAATAAGCTGAAGAGAGAAGCTTTCCAGCCTCAGTTTCCTGCTTTTGCCAAGTTGGCTTACCCATTATGTCAGTGTTGCATACAAACTCGGAGAGGGCGGCCGCAGTGAATGCAACCATGTTAACGTGATTGTCAGTTCGCTGTAAACATATTCAGACTGTGTGTTATACAGAAATATAAAGTGAAGTTTTCAGTTGTGGTCTAATGGTCATATGGCACAGTTAGTTTAAAAGAAAAATCAAATATGAAACACTTTACGTTTGGGCTGTGTTTTACCAGCGAGGAAGATTTAATGCAGCTGCACTCATAGGGGTAAAGCAGCAGCTGTACTTTCTTATTAGGGCCAGATAACTTATGAGATCCTGAATTAAATTAAAACAAAATCTGCGGGCGTGCTGGTGGGGCAGCGGTTAGCGTGCATGTACAGAGGATTTAGTCCTCGATGCAGCCGACCCGGTATCAAATCCGACCTGTGGTCCTTTGCTGCATGTCCCCCTCCCTCATACCCCCTTTCCTATTAGCCTACTGTTGATAAAAACGAGCTACTAGTGCTGTAAAAACTCAAAAACAAAATCTGCATTGATAAAACTCCTAACTATGAATAATGACACCTGTAACTCTAGACTGAGATTTTCATTTTGAGACTTGGAGGAGCCAAGAAGTTTACTGTACTTTCCTCCTTTAGGTCTTGTTGAGAGGGAGCTTTCGGGAGATGAACCATCATTAGTCTGTGTGATGAATAGCGCTGGAGTGTGTACCTCAGGACTACTATAGTTGATGGAGTGTCACCTTAAACCTCATCCCTACAGACCATCAGAGACGTGTTCTGATTAGCACTTCATCTACTAAAGTCTTTGCGGCTTTGGTAGTACGGTATGAACGCAATTTGGTGGGGCCAACATACCTCTCTAAGGAACAGTTCTCAGCTCTTAAGGTTTAAGATAAATGTAAAAAAGCCACAGACATTCACTAACTGATTTTCACCTGATTGCAAACTGTACCTTGCAGTAGACCCACTTAGCAGTAATGTTTGCTCTGGGTGTTTTGTTTTAAAGAGAAACCTAATATGCAGATTTATGGCATGCAGACATGCTCTGCTCTGCCTCTAAGGTTTTGTCCAGCCTGATCTGCTGTGTTTTATGAAGCGTTGTGGTAGGTTACGCTCAGTGTGAGCACTGCTGCTTCCAGGTCTTTGCATGTTATATTTAAAACTTGGCTGAGATCAGCTTAAGTGTCTTTCGTTTGGATTCGCCCAAGGACATTTTCCTGTAAATGGGACACTCAGTAGTTTACATTGAAAGTCACTTATTGTGGAATGGACTGTCTTTTTACTGGCTCCTTTGTCTTCCGCAGGCAAGTCAGTTGTGGCCAGAGCCGCAGCGGTTTTGAGGGCTTTCATCAGCTGTCTCAACACAATCATTTAGGAGGCCAGCTCCGACCAGAATTAATACAATATTCACATCCATAACCAATCATCATTTGAATACTGAGAGGGGAACCAGAGTTTGCATGAATGACAAATTGTTGAGTTGGACGTGTTTACTTTCAGTTAGAGAATATCATACTGATGTATCTATTATGGGTTATGGTCTGTTCATGTTATATTCTGCCGGTCAGCCCTCCCAGTTAAATCTCGCCTGTTTTAAAGAAAAACAAAACAGAGAAAGGTTAATGAAGAAGTCCAGTAGGACAGTTTAGTCTAAGATTTTCACGTTTCTGTCCCCATTCTGCTACTACTGTTTAAATAAAGACAATAATATGTTTTATATAAGGATGTTATTAATTATCATAAATTCTTAGTTTCCAACACAGTTCCTTAAGAATTGGCAAATAGTGTTGTCAAATCTCTACCCAATACATTTATTGGAAAACCAAGAGGCAACGCAATCCACTCAAGTTCTTGCAACAGATTTTCTCTCGATTGGCTTCATTTCTTCACTAGATGTAGAACAGTTTACTGCCAGGTAACAGTTGTTCTCTCACCCCACTTGTATTCATTTATTTATGACTTTTCTGTTGTTTTAATTATCAAAGAATTTTTGACCTTATGAGAACCTCTGAGGAAAAACATCTGAGGGAAGAAAAAAAAATTACAAAAGTTCTTCTAACTTAATAGTTGAAAGTGGCAAGATGTGTTTATTTTCCAAAATGGGAGAAAAAGCACAAATTAGAGTTAAAATGTATGACTGTAAAACATATAAGGATTTGATAAAGTTGGATGAATTTCGCCACCTTCTATGTTGGTCCTCCCCCCTCTGTCATGATCTTGGTGCTCATGACTAGCTTGATTGTTCATTCCATTCACCTGTCTAGCTCTGCCAAGTTCATCATCACTGTTCATCTGTGTCAACTGCTCCAGTCTTTGTTTAACCTGCCTGCTTCCACTCATCAGTGCCAGATTCCTCAAGCCTTCGTTGAGAGTTCTCTAGCATACCTGTTTGTGTTCTGATTGCCTGACCCTGACCCACACCTACCTCTGAGCCTGCCTGTTCCTGTTCTGATCTGTTTGCCTGACCTGTCTTCAGACTTCTGCTGGATTCTGCCTTTGGATACCTGGATCTGTTTACTGACACCGACCTGGTTTTCTTTTCGGTACCTCTTTGGATCTCTGACAATAACTCTGGCTCGAGACAGTAATTAGGTGCTGATGACTGGTTAGAGAGCTGGTTAAATAGAGGAGTATTTAGATCAGATAAACAGTTACGAGAAATGGGCAGAGTTAGACAGGTAAATGAAATGAGTAATTAAGCAAGTCATCCGTGCTAAGATCATGACACCCTCATCCTGGTCCCTCTCCTGACCCTCAGCACAACATCTAAGAGGGACATTAATCATTAATCCCCACAAAGTATATATTATAGAAATCTTCTTTATAAACTTAATTTCTTTCAAATATGTTTATTAAACTTAGCGTGTGAACCCTGTATTGGAATATTACATACTCTTATTCTCTCCCTCCAGAAAATAAAAAGTGGTAAAATTAATTAAAGATTTATTTGACTATGATATTGTTAACAAAAATGTCTGGTATGCCTTACTTTAAGCCAGGACCAATTTGACCTTTTCCAACGTCCTTGAAGCCACAGCCACAAGTTTCCCTGCTCCATAATTAACACCAGTATGCTAATTTTAAATGTAGCCTGCAATCTACAATCTGCACAGCTTTGGTTTTAAGAATGCCAAGAAATGTCCCGTGGTTAAGATTTACCCAAATTAATGGAAATTTGATTTAAATGTGGCCTTGCAGCACAGAGAAATGATCGGTGAAGCTGCTTTAGAAATAGATTTGTTCCTGCATCTTGTTTCATAATTAAAAGCATTCACAAATCTCAGGTTTGGTTAAATGCGGCAACAGCCAAGAGTCACTCCATCAGGATAAATATTGATTTGAATTTTGGGGGGGGGGAAAGAACTTGGAAAATTGCATGTAGTATTTTAATGTGGTAATTATTAAAATCGTTTTCTTTTAAAGACTGTCATGGCTTCACTACCAAGAGGTGATGGTTGATGTTTTCTTATTAATATTTTTTTCTCCTTTGTCCTGCAGCGAGCTATGGAGCATACCCCATCTGTAAAGGTTGCTCAGTGTGCTCCAGGGATAATGGCTGTGTGAACTGCCAGCCCAAACTCTTCCTGTTCCTGCGAAGGGAGAGGATGAGGCAGTACGGCGAGTGTCTTCACGACTGTCCAGCTGGATATTACGGCATGCGCAGCCCTGAAATCAACATGTGCTCCAGTAAGACCCCCTCCATCATCTTCCCACACTACTTGATCTACTGTCTTTTTTTCAGAGCAGACACATATGCCTTAAAATTTGAAAGGCTTGCCTGCTCGCACAGGTTGATGTTCTTAGTGAAGCCTCATCTTTGTATCATGTCCCTCAGGAACTAGACTAAGAATGAGCCGGCTGTTTCTCAACCGTATAGAACACCATAATAACAAAAAACATGCTTAAGTTATAGATGACTAAAGGCACAACTGCAGTTGACACACAGTACCATGAAAAAAGTATTTGAACACTGACTGATTACTTCATTTTTTGCTTCTTCATCACATAAATTATTCATAAAATCAAATGAACAACTGTCCAAATTAACTTTGTTTGACCCTTTTTTAATATCATAAAATAACTGTCAAACTTGTCATTGTGGACATACGTTTTTTTTTTTTTAAAGCAGTAAACAGCAAACTTGATTTATGCCTCACCTTTAGGCTTAAAACCAAACAACCAAAAAACGATTCAACAGTCTGACAATATGGAAAACCTTGCAAACCAACACATCATAACCAGAAATACACACATTTAAAGAAAAGATGAGAAATAAAAGTCTGTGTTGCTCTCAGACTAGAAAGGGGATCTCTAATTAATCACATTGAGAGCCATTATTCATAAACGGAGATAACATGGAAGAGTGGTGAATGTTTCTAAAGTGCATCAATGATTCACTTTAGAGGTCAGAATCCAAGACAACCCTGTACTGTGGGGGGGTACTTACCTCACTTAACATCAGTGCTTATGATCTTACAACAAATTAAAGGAAAAAGCTAAATAACAGCTGAGATTTCTGAAGCTACATCTGACCAAAAATGAAGCAAATACCCATCTCTCATTTACCAAAACTATTTTGATTATCCACAGGAACTCTGTGAAAATAATGCCCTCAACTGATGAAAAAAAAAATAGTATAAACCAGGTAAAGGAAATGATACAAAAAAAACAAGCTAATGGTTTTAATTGGTAAAATACTGGCGTAAAAGATTCAATGTCAACTCAGATTTATTTACTTTTTTAGACATTTATAGTATGTAACATATTTAGCCAATTTTCACCCCTTTGTTAAAGATTTTTATTGAAAGCAGTATTTTTAGTCTCTAGTTATTGAAGAGACCAGAACCTTTGGTCTCCCAAGCTGTGGAACTCTGCTTTACAGCTAATGAAAAATCCAAACAATAACACTGACAAATCAAAATGTTCTTAGCCATACTTGTTAAAGAATAACACTCAAATCCAATTAATGAAAAGTACCTTTCTCCTCCTCATGTAGCACCCTGATCTCATAACCTTATGTTAACATTGAATATGCACTCAGAGATGGAGACGGACTTTGTAGGTTTATTCAGAGCCCGAGGCGTTGGCTGAGTGTTTCATATGAAAACAGTGAGAAACTTGAAGCTTTTTCGTTCCCTGTGCCAAACTTCTGACAGACACACTAAAATGTATCCCCAAAGGAGAGTATCTAAACCTTAAGGCTGAAATATATGAACATGTAGCAACTGCAAAGACAGAAAAGTACTGCTTTCTGCTTAACCTATCATGGCAGCCCTCGAAACAAATCTTTCATATTTTAGTATGAAAATGGCTAAGGATAAAAAAAACGACGATTTCATAATATTTAAAGAATAATGTTGCTGTTTATAAGAAAATATGATTAATCTGCGAAATGCCATTAATCTTTAACAAAGTTGTGAAAGGTATGTTTTACAAAATTGTTCTTTCACCTTCCCAATGATTACATTATATGATCATCTGGAATCTTAATGTAAGAATTCTGATGCTCCTTGACAATGCAAGGCATATCCGATCCGAAGTTGTAATGTGAGGTTGTTTTGGACCCAATCTGCAACTGGACTAAGTCAGATGCCTGAAATGGATTTATTTTAGTGAACATTTTAAGGAATCAGGGATGCGGGAATATACAACGGAAAAAGGAAACAAAAAATCAAAACTAGAAACCCAAATGCTATAGAGATGTGATGAGCTACGTGAAAACTAGGTGAGTATCGTCAACGGAGTGGAAATACAAGTCAATGATAGCTGTGGATATTTACAGAACCATCCCCTGCTAAACAAGCAGGGTTGGACTGCAGATGCCCAAATACGTCTATGAACATAAATAATGAACCTGAACTCAGGTGGAAAGAAAGGAGTCTTGGCGTGAGGGCAAGAAGCAAAACTGAAGCCAGGGTTAAGGGGTGGGACTGGGAGGATGAAGATTCACAGATTTCAGGAATCCTTTACCGGTTCTGGAACCTTTGAGTCTTCTGCTGGAGAACTTGTTCGCATGGAGAACACACTGGGAGCCTTCTCAAAGGACAAAAGGTGGTAAATCTGTAGAATCCGGCATAACAGGAACAGGAACACAGGATAGATCCATCTGGTCACTCTAGACAGAGAACTTGGCATCAGGAACTTGCGGTGACTGATCTGATGGTGTTTGAGGTTGAGGTGACAGCAGTAGCTTAAAGCCAAATGTGGCCTCTATGGCTTAGGGGTGACAGAAAGTGCGCTGTGCTACTTGGAGGTGAAGTGGAGCAGGCTCCATTGAGAGAGAGTCGAAGAGTTTGTGTCTGGGATAGTGATGCCGCCAGAGTTATTGGAACTGATGCTTTGGTGTGGCAAACAGCAAACCCACAAACCGATTGCATATTGAAATGGTTCAACCAAATGGAAACAGCCGTGTATCAATAAACCATAGAGCTTTGCACATGCACCCTCCGTCAACAAAACTCTTTTTTTTAAGTGAGGGTCAATAGGAGACATAATACCGTAATTCTTGCCATTTTTTTTCCAAAATATGGCAACTTATATACTTCTTTTAAACAACCCAAGATCAGTGCCTAATCCTGTGCCATCATGAATCACAACTTTTGCATTCCCTTCATAAAACAACCTTCAGTCCCACTGTTGTTCTGAGGTGATGGTTCTGCATGTTGCAGCTGCTTTCTCTGCTTTAGAACACATTATTTAAATCAATGGGTATTAAGGGATTTCTGTAGAACTTGTTGACAGTCTGAGGAGGCAATTCATTTATATCATGTGGGAGAGTAGTGACAGATTGAGGTCCCTGTTTGTACTGGTATGAATATGTTCTGCTACATTTATACACTGAGTTTTTATCAGGTTAAAAATGCCCGACTTCTACACCAGTATCAGAGTTCCAGAATCCTCAGACATGATCAACTATTGTTGGTTTTTACTTAACTGAAAGAGAAAGACATGTTTTCCACCGGTAACACAAGTGACTTTATTAACATAAGCTAAAGCATCCAGACCACTAAATCCTGATCATGTTTGATTTTGGACTCTAACAGTTCCTGATGTTTTGCGGGTTAGTTTGGATCCCTCGCCTTACACAGCACTGTTAGAACAACATCTTGTATTGTCACGTAGCATGAGATCCCAGAATGAGGCCCGCTTTGAAGTGATCGCTGCTTCACTCATCCCTCTTTTATCCTTTTTTTTGGCCTTCTTTCTCTTCTACTTTACATGTGTTGTTTTTTGTTATACTATTCAAGTCCAGCCTTAGGCAGTGGATATTTTATTATTTTAGATTTAAACCTTTTGACTCTGATGTGCCATCAACAAATGACAGTGAGAATTTCCTCGCCATGGTGGTGAGAGCCTCCCTGTGCTTTTGGCTTGCACAGGGCCCTGGAGCTCGGTGTTACCGCTCTGTTGACATGAGCTTTTTAACATAGCCTCTGAAACATTTAAGCAGCAGCTGCTTGTTATTACTCTAGAGTTTTTATGTATGATCTTATATTCTACATTTTATTTTGAATCTTTGTGGACTGCCTTTGTAAAAGAAAACATATATACTCAGTAAGGATTCTGAAGAATACACCCGAATGTGACATAGATGAAAATTGACAGATAGAGGAAATGTATACAATCTAAGCTCTTTGGACAAACAGAGTGAGAGAGAGAAAAAATCCAAAAGTCTAACCTCATTGCTTAGGAAAGAGGAAATGATAACATCAAAAGGGTTGCTTCTCTTGTCTTTTTAATGGCCAATGAAAAGCAATATTTTTTAAATGGAGGCATATCCAACATCGGGAGCTAACTCCCTGGATAATTCATGAGTTTAATCATTGGGGTTTTTGAGAACATGTAGAACAATGCATGAACAGAGATCTCAAACTACCACAGATTATGATGAACCTTTATTTACCTTAAACATCATTGAAAAGCATCCATCCGTCCGTCCGTCCGTCCGTCCGTCCGTCCGTCCGTCCGTCCGTCCATCCATCCATCCATCCATCCATCCATCCATCATCCGTCCGTCCGTCCGTCCGTCCATCCATCCATCCATCCATCCATCCATCCATCTATCCATCCATCCATCCATCCATCCATCCAGACTATGGGTGGAGGGCTTCACGTCAATATCGATTCTAAAGAAACTGTGTGCAATGAAGCTGGGTTGTGAACTTTAATTGTAAATAGAGAGCTTTTATGTTAGGAAACAGTTTTTTATATGACATTATTCTACATGATATGTTATCTTTCTAGAGGCAAACATGGTTTTATTGTGTTGTTGCTGCTCCCTTCAGCAGCTTGTAGCTACCTTGGGATACACAAAGATTTTTTATCAGCTGTCCATATGAGGCCCCAGACTATTGTCTGTGGGTGTTACCCTGCTATTCTACCAGGAAGATTTATAGCAATTTCAGATTATATTTTAGCTCAAACAGAATTGATGGGTTTGATGCGCAGTCGTGTTTAGCACAATTCTTCACAATAGTTCTAGTTTAACACAAATCACCAAGCCTCAGCATTTTCCATTATGCTGTATTAAAAGCAAAACCTTAGGGGGGAAGAGTTTTGAGCCAACAGATGGCTATGAGAACTGTCTTCTCCACATGAATTATCGTGGAGAGGATTGAGAGTAAGACTAGTTTTAAAATGTTCTTTTTCAGATTGTATTAAGGAACCATAACAGCTGTTTAAACGCA